AACCGGCACAGTAAATCCTCAGACAGTGACAGCAGTAATATCATATTGAGGTGCAACAATTATCACAAATTGATTATGATTAATCTAAGCTTTGAAAATTCCACTTGCCTTTGTGTTGTAACAAACAATATTAATTAAATTTATTTGTGCCTGCCCCTTTGCCCCTAGGGTTGTGGGTTGTAAATGGGAACACTGGTGGAGGGAAGAGCACACTGGTGGTGGGACTAATAGTTTAACATTTAATGCCTGAAACAATTATACTGTGAACAACTTGATAATCACAGCATTTTAATTTTTTTTAAATTCTTTTGGTTTGTTTTTGGGCCATACCCACATTGTGCTCAAGACTTTCTTGGCTCTGAGCTAAGGGATCACTCCTGGTAGGCTTAGGGGGTTTTATGAGATGCCTAGAATCGAACCTGGGTAGTCCATGTGCAAGTGCCCTATCCACTGCACTATCAACCAGTACAGGAAGGAGAGGGGGAAGAGGAGAGGGAAAAAGGGAGGGAGGGAGGGAAGGAAGAAAGGAAGGAAGGAAGGAATTAGTCTCAAGTGTTAACTCAGAAACCACTGTTCTTGGGGCTGGAGTGATAGGGCATTTGCCTTGCATGCGGCCAACCTGGGTTCGATACCCAGCATCCCATATAGTCCCCCAAGCACCGCCAGGAGTAATGTCTGAATGCAGAGCCAGGAGTAACTCCTGAGCATTGCTGGGTGTGACCCAGAAAGAAAAAAAAAAAAAAGAAAAAGAAACCACTGTTCAAATCCTACTGTAGTAGGGGAAGAGAAAAAAGAAGTTTAATTTAAAATCAGAGGCAAAGGGGCCAGAGAGATATAGCTCAGCAAGGCATGCTTTGCCTAGAGGAGCAGTAGCTACAATCCCTATTTTTCATGGTCCCTGAGCAACACTGGGTGTTATACCTCCCCCAAATTAAAAAATAATAAAGTAACATTAAAAAAAATCAAGCAAAAGCCCAGACCCATTGGAATATACAAAATGCCCAACTGCTCCTTGGTCCAAGTCAGGGGGCACAATGCAGTGTGCAATCTTTCCCCGGCTCCTATCCATCAGTGTTCCTTATACAACCTGGGATAAGGGCAGACAGATACTACTAACATGTTTACAACAGCTCAGAGTGGAGGAAGACCAATAAAATGGCAAATGCTGTGCTCACCAAGCATGTTTTTCAAGACTCAAAAGTGAAATCTTGGGCTGTAGCAATAAGAGGTAGGGTCCAATCCCCTCACATTCCATATGGTCCCCCAAGCACCTCTAGGGAGTTATTTCTGAGTGCAAAGCAAGGAATAAAGCTTTTCCTCCGTGGTGGGAAACAAAGCTACAAAGCTGTTCCTGGTCTGGCTGACTAGCATTCTAACACCCAACCCTCCACCATTGTACATTTCCCACCACCTATGTTCAGTTTCCCTCCTGCCACCCTCCCCCCAACCTTGTCTCTATGGCAGGTACTTTCCTTCTTTCTTCCTCCAGGAACAACCTTTGAATATCACTAGGTATGGCCAAAAAACAGAAGCAAAACAAAACAAAAGTAACAAAAAACTGGTATCTTAGCCAGGAAGTCACACACTCTGTTTCTAGAAAGCAGTTCTACATTCTGATCCCCTTTTTATGAGGGGAGGACCACACCCATCTGCTCAGGGGTGACTCCTGGCAATGCTCAGAGCACTATACAGGATGACAAGGATCGAACACAGGTGGACCATGTGCAAGGCAAGCACCCTACTCAGTACACTATCATTCCAGCCCCTCAGTTCTGCATTCTGAACAAGTTCTGCAACTCTGTTCTGCAGCACTGAGCGTGGGATTCCAATCAACATATACCAGCACTTCAAACAGGCAGTAGCGATCCTCCATCACTGAACTGACATTTCTACTTACATGTTCCATCCACTTCCCTGCTTAAGAGTGTCTCCAGAGGCTGGAGCAATAGCACAGCAGGTAGGGCATTTGCTTTGCATGGGGCCGACCCAAATTCGATCCCCAGCATCTCATATGGTCCCCTGAGCACCACCAAGAGTAATTCCTGAGTGCATGAGCCAGGAGTAACCCCTGTGCATCTCCGGGTGTGACCCAAAAAGCAAAAAAAAAAAAAGTGTTTTCAATTCAAATTCAGCACATTAAAAAAATTCTTAGTTCCCATCTACTACAGGCAAGTATAAGGAGGCACAAATACTGACCATAAGGATTAAGCCCAGAAAACCGCCAGTGTGGACCCCCAAAAAATAAAAAAGCAAATATTATTATTGGGTTGAACAGAGAGCTCAACAGACTAGAGTCATGCAGGAGACCCAGGTATAATTCTGGCACCAGATGGTCCAAGAGCACCACCAGAAATGACCCCCCCCCCCCAAGCAGAGCTAAGAATAGTCCCACCACCTCCAGCCCCCAAGATTATGCAAAAATCATCCTGCAAAGATTATGTTTAAAGGCAATACTTGGGGCTGCAGTGACACTACAGAAGATAAGGCATTTGCCTTGCATGTAGCAAACACAGGTTCCATCCCAGGCATCTCAATGGTCTCCCAAGCACCACCAGGAGTAATTCCTGAACACAAAGCCAGGAATAACCTCTGAGCAAGACCAGGTGTGGCCCCAAAATCAAAAATTAATTAATTAAATAAAGGCAATACTGCTACACAGTTCAGAGACCACAGAGTTAACCCAAAGACTGGAATGCTTTGGGACTGTTCAAAATCTGATTTGCACTCAGGAGAGAAGAAAGTTTTGAAGAAAAAGTTTGTCTCCAAAATGGGGCAAAATTGGGGCTGGAGCGATAGCACAGCGGGTAGGGCGTTTGCCTTGCGTGCAGCCAACATGGCCAACACAGGTTCGATTCCCAGCATCCCATGTGGTCCCCCAGCACCGCCAGGAGTGATTGCTGAGTGCATGAGCCAGGAGTAACCCCTGAGCATCGCTGGGTGTGACCCAAAAGGAAAAAAAAAATGGGGCCAAATTCTTTGCATTCAACTGGCAAGAGGATTTGTACAGGAAAGTAACCTGTATGGACTATTTGGCAAAACCATTTGTTTACTGCAAAACTAACCCTGGAGAAGTAGCCAAGGGATAGATGGGCACAGGGCGATGAACGCCACACTTTAAGGCACCAGATCTCAAAAGCCTGCAGCAGTTTCTGACTTCATTGTAGCTTCTGACATTTAGCTTGGGATGTAACTCAGTGGTAGAGTAACTACTTCACCTTCTATGTATAAAATCCAGCATAGATCCCCAGATCCCTAAGACTAAAATAGGGGAAAGTGCTGACAGTTATAGAGTTATAGGTAAACTGCAAAAAGACAAGAGGATGAAGCTATCAGAGCTGGAGGGATAGTACAGAGGGTAGGGTGCTTGCCTTGCATGTGGCCGGATTGGGTTTTCAGGAGCACAAAGCAATTTTTTTTCTGAACAGGAGGCAGTAGGCCAAAATAAGTTTGGGAATCTCTGGGAACCTTTGAGCTGGAAGATGGATGAACTTTTATAATCCCTAAAATCGTGTACTGCTCAGAAACTGGACTAGAATCTGTCTTTACAACTCAAAGAGGTTCAATATTCAAAACAGGTCAACACCCAAACCCTTAAGTAGGATTCGCAGAAACCAACAAGAATTCAATCTTTACTTTCTAAAGTGTTCCTCAGAGAGGGAGTGGAGGTTAGCTTGCAGCAATCTGGAGTTCTAAGAGTTGATCACCTCCATCCTTTCTTAGAAAGAACTGCCCAAGGAACTGGTCGTGTCTCCCACCTCCATCCCCCCCACCCCCCAAGGTCACAAGTCATCCAGGAATTCAAGCATCAGTAGGAGGGAAGGCACTGGGAAGAAGAGCCGACGTGGAAAATTCTCTCTTCTTGCAAATAAGCAAATGGCAACCAAGCGGCTGCCTCCTCCTCGGTCAGCAGCGTCTGTGCTCCCCAAAAGCAGGAGCTGGTTTCTCTGAATAACAAACCGAGGTGAGAACAGCCTGATACAAGTCGTACACAAAGTACAGCTCAGCTTGATTCCTTCAGGCTTCAGGCGTGAGCGCCTCAGAAGTCAGCGAGCACAGGAAGAGTCTGGGGAAGTCCAGAACTCTCCCTTCCTGCACACCTTGCCCCGTGCCTCTCACACCCTCCCAGCCCAGGCCTCAGGACAGGGCATCCCACCCCCACCCCGCTCCGTGTTTTCACTGGGCAAAATTCATTGAGGGCTGTGAAAAGTTCATGTAGCAAGTTCACTCTATCCCCAAAGACCGCCCCCCCAAAGAAAAGTTTCATTTTCAGAGTCTAATACACACCACGATTTCCTCTAACAGATTAAACTGGCAGATTAAAATGGCAGGAGTAAACACCAACCCGGTCGCCACCTCAATAAATTCATTTTCTCCTAAGAGCAAAAAAGGGGACGCCCTTCCCACCACTCTAAACGCGTTGGCAAGCGGACAGCAAACCAAAAAACCACGTTCCAAAAGACAATCCGAGCATCACACTCGGCCTAAGAGCAGCAGCCGACAGCGACCTCCGAGAAGCCCCCGGTGGCAGGTGCGGGGGTCTGGGGGTGTGGGGGGGAGGGTTTTGCCCGCGGGCATCACAGGGCTATTGCTACTGGCCAGCCCAGGTCGCCAAGGCTCGCGCCCGTCTCGTCTGGCCTTACGTCTCCAGCGCCGGAAAATTACTCGCAGAAGGGACCTACGACAGAGGTCCGTGCATTGTCCCACAACGTAAGAGGAAACAGCGGGACACATCAGAGAGCCCCAGGCGGGCACTGGACACGTTTCGGCGCCGCGGGTCAGCAGAGCCCACGACCCGAGAGGGAGACGCCCGCCGCGGGTGCCCGGCTCTCGGACCTTTTTACCCTCTGGCCGGCCCCCGCCGAGCGGCAGCATCCCCGAAATCGAGACGCTCCAGCGGTGTTCGAGCCGGGCTCGGCCGAGGCCCCGGCCCTGCGCGTGCCCGCTCCCACCCCGCGCTGCCGCGGAAAGGCCGGCCTCACCGCCCCGCTCCTGTCACTCACCGGCCCAGCCCCGGCTGCGGGCGCCCACGGCTCCCCCACGGGAGCTGGGCCCCCCGGGCCTCCAGGCTTCGGCCCGCCCCTGGGCAGGCAGCGCAGGTGGCTGAGCCCCGCAGCAGCGGCCCCGCAGCGGCCGCTCGGTCCAGCTCCCGGCGCTGCCCACTGGGTACGGATCAACAACAAGATGGCGACCAGCCGAGGGGGCGGGGGCCGGGCGTCATAGTAACCAGGATGGTGAAGAACCCGCCCCCGACTGCCGTTATCCCCAATCAAATGCCTCTCAGCCCGACGCCCAGGAGTGTGCTTCCCGTTGACAGGGCGGCCGGCTTGGCAGTCAGAGTCCGCCTCTCACGGCTCCGGCCGAACGCCTGGGCACGTGACTGTGACGGCACGGTTGGCGCATGCGTGCCGTTCCCCTGGCGGCTGGCGCCTGAGCGCTGGCTGGCGGTTTCTGGGGCCGTCGCGCCCTTGGCTTCTCGGCCGGCGCGGCCTTTTCCTTGAACCCGCAGCATCTTTTCACACGTCCGCGCACCAGGAGAAAGTGTCGGCTTTCTGTGCTTTGCCCTTTTCTAATTTTTTTTTTCTGTTTTCGTTATCCTCTTTCGAAGGGAGGCGTTGTTTTCTCCGGTTCAGCTGTGAGGAAACTGAGGCTTGGAGGGAAAGGCCCAGTGCCAAGGTCACGCAACCTCTGGAAGCGGAGGCGCAGGGTCTCTTACCGCCGACTGGCATCCAGGTCTAATGCCCTCTCCTAGCTGCTTACCCGGCGTACCTCACCCAGCCCTGAGAGGAATCATCTCTGGTCCTTTGGCCGCATCTGTCCAAATTTTGCTTGGAGTCCGATCTGGCTGCACAAGCCCTGGCAATTAGCTCTCTCTATCTCTTCCTGCCCTAGAGCATCTTGCCTTGAGCTCCTCTCCAACACCTTCACTCTGGACAGTCATGATCTGTCTCAGAGGCTGACTCTGATCCTGGGAATACTGGGAATACAGTTCTCCCTGGACCAACATCCAATGCCGGTTCTAGCAGACTCGCAGGCTTTCCAGAGCCTTGGTTGCCTTCGCTGCCGTTGTCTTGGTCGCCTATCCCATCGCCCCACACCCGCGTGTATACGTTCCTGAGTGTGAATTCGGACAAGACAGGCGCTCTACCGCTGAGCCACATCCCTGGCCTCTATTGCTCCATTTATATAAATAAGATAACAGACGAGCTCCTCAACAAATGAAGATTTAATGAGCGCCTGAAGCAAGATTCGTGCTCAGGAAACGTCATCCTGGAACCACTCCAGGAACCTTGCTCTCAGGTTGCCATCAGAAGCCGGCTCTAGGCCTCACGTTATTGAGAGATGACGTATGTTTTCCCCATGCAGACATTCAGCCCTAGGACAGCATAACTAGTGCAGCAGAGCTCCTCCAGTGCCCTGCAGGGGGTTAGATTTTGCTTAGTAGAGGGGAAAATTTGACCACAGAAAAGTTGACTCCACCTAGGACAGCAGGTCTTCTAGGAGCATCAGCAGTAACCTGAGATCCACTGCCAGGCTTGGTCTTGGGGCCAACAATGCACCCACATGAACCTGCCTTTCCTCAGGTTTCATTGGCCACCTGTCTACCTGCAACAGCTCAACTCTGCTGAGCACAGAGTCCAGGACCACAGTACCAGGTACATCTGGGGGAAATAGGAAATGGGCCTGTCAAGCCCTTGCAGCCTGTCCTACCTTCTGTGGCCATTCCCACGGGGCCCATTAAAATTGTTACAGACTTGAAGGACTGTTTTTTTTCTTTTGTTTGTTTGTTTTTACCATATAGCACAGTGGGTAGGGAGTTTGCCTTGCACAAAGCCATCATGGCTGACTGGACTTCGATTCCTCCACCCCTCTCGGGAGAGCCCAGCAAGCTACCTAGAGTATCTCGCACGGCAAAGCCTGGCAAGCTACTCGTGACGGATTCAATATGGCAAACACAGTAACAACAAGTCTCACATTGGAGACTTTACTGGGCCCGCTCGAGCAAATCGATGAACAACGGGAGGACTGTGACCGTGACCGTGACCTCTTCATCCCTTGGATAAGGAACGCTTTGCTTCAGCTTACCAGTTGTAAATTTTGCAGGCCCCATGCCTAGATATCAGTGGAAGGTCCTATCACAAGGAATGGCCAATAAGTCCCACCTTGTGCCAAAAATTTGTGGCTCAAGTTGTTGATCTCATAAGGTGCCATTGGCCTGCTATTTATATCCTCCACTATATGGATGATACATTCTTGGCAGCTCCTGATGGCTCCCAACTCCTTGCATGCTACAAGGACTTAGTTCTGAATCTGTCTGCATTTGGCCTTCAGGTTGCGCTTGATAAAATTCAGCTAAAGGACCTGTATTTTTATTTGGGTTTTGAATTAAGAGGCACCAAAATTTTAACACAAAAAATGCAACTTCAGACTACTCACTTGAAGACACTTAATGATTTCCAGAAATTGCTTGGGGACATAAACTGGATTCGCCCTTATTTGCGTTTGACTACCGGTGATCTTAAGCCCCTCTTTGACATCCTTAAAGGAGACCCTGGCCCCTCTTCCCCTAGGAAGCTTACGCCCCCTGCCCTAGCTGCCTTGCAGTTGGTCAGTTCGGCCATTCAGGACCAAAATGTTTCCTTTGTCTCCTATGAAAAGCCCCTTCTGTTATCTGTGCCACGTTTCATGCACCCACTGGGGTGTTTTGGCAAGGGGCCCCGATTTTTGGGGTACACCTTGCCTCCACTCCAACAAGAGTCCTGACTTCTTATCCATTATTGGTGGCCAAGCGTATACTGCTCAGGAGGGAGCGCAGACTTCAGTATTTCAGGAAGGAATCTGATACCCTGATTATCCCCTATACTCAAGAGCAGTTAAACTGGCTTCTATGTGCCTCAGATGATTGGTCAATTGCTTGCCTTTCCTTTACGGGCATAATAGATAATCATTTCCCTGCTAATAAGCTTTTTCAGTTTGCTAGAGTGCATTCTTTTGTTTTTCCAAAAGTTACCTCCTTTACTCCCATACAGGGTGCTTTCACACTTTTTACAGACGGACCCTCTAATGGCTAGGCCGCCTGTGTGATTAATGGCACCCCCCAGCATAAGAAATCCCCCTATACCTCTGCCCAATTGATTGAATTGTTTGCCATCATTCAAGTTTTTCAGTAGTTACCCACCGTACCCTTTAATTTATATACAGACAGCTCCTATATTGCCTTTGCCCTTCCTCTTTTGGAAACTGTCCCCCTTATTAAACCTTCCACAAATGCCTCCCCTCTTTTTGCTCAGTTGCAAGAATTGATTTATTTATGATGCCAGCCATTTTATGTAGGTCATCTTCACGCTCACTCTGTTCTTCCTGGACCTTTAGCTGCAGGGAATGCCTTAGCCGAAGCCACCACTCAGTCAACCTTCCTGGTTCTCATTGGCTCAGTTACCCAAGCTCAGCAGGCTCATGCCCTTCATCATGTGAATGCCAATACTCTTAGGCTCCTTTACAAACTCAACCGAGTCCAAGCCTGGCAGATAGTTAAAAATTGTCCTGGATGCGTTATGTTGCCCTCACCACATCTGAGGGTTAACCCCCGAGGATTGGTACCTAATGATATTTGGCAAATGGATGTCACTCACTATAATCAGTTTGGGAAACTTAAATATATTCATGTTACTATTGATACTTACAGCGGCTTTATCCATGCCTCATTACAATCTGGGGAGGCTTCCAAGAATGTTATCACCCATGTCTTAACCTGCCTTGCCCTTATGGGGAAGCCCAGGATAATTAAAACTGACAATGGCCCAGGTTATGTAGGTAAGAATTTCCAGACCTTCTATCATCAGTTCCAAATAAAACACATAACGGGCATCCCCTACAACCCACAAGGCCAAGGCATAGTGGAGCGTGCTCAACCAAACCTTGAAGGCCTACCTTCAAAAACTGAAACAAGGAACTATTTACTCAACCTTGGGCACTCCTAGAAACCTTTTGAGTCATGCCCTTTTCTAAATTTTTTTAACAGATTTACAAGGACGTTCAGCAGCAGACCGCCTCTGGCACCCATCTACTCAAAATAACCATGTCCTTGCCTCTTACCTGTCAATGGAGAGGCCCAGACCCCGTGCTTATCTGGGGACGAGGGTCCGCTTGTATTTTTGACAGCCAAGAAGGTGCAGCTCGCTCGCTCCCTGAATGGTTGATTAAGCCTGTGCATATACCTCCTAACTTCTTCCTGCATTAACATATGCCTCAGAGACCTGGACCCTACGAAAACAGGATGAGAACTCTATTCGGGTTTCTCAAAGAGGAATCGAAAGAGCTATGCTTGGAATATCACGATTCACTCAAATGAGAGATAGAATCCGGAGTTCTGATCTTCGTCAACGCTCAAGAATCAGGGACGCTGTCTCATTTGCCAAGACATCAAAAATCAAATGGGCTGGACACGTAATGAGGTTTACAGACAACCGCTGGACTAGAGCCATTACTGATTGGATTCCACGGGACATCAAAAGATCACGTGGACGCCCACCTACAAGATGGTCAGACTTCTTCGTCAAGACCCTGAATGATTGGTTTGAGGTTCTGCATGTTCCTAGAACGAACAGATACCATTGGGCTACGCTAGCACGCAACCGGGATGAATGGAGACGTTACTGGCACCCGCTCGAGTAAATCGATACGGGATTAAGTGATTAAGTGATATACCTCCTAACACCAAAGAATCCAGGAAGATTCAAATCCCTGAGAATAGCTTCCTTTCTTTTACCACAGATGGAAATGAAAATCATACTTCCCTTCCTGATGGCACTGACACAGACAATCTACAGTAAAAAAGGAGACGCGCACTGGGAATTTCAGATTCTTGCTGTTGGGTTTGAACCCACCCTTGCTTCTTTATAAGTCACGACATGGTCCCCCAGCAGATAACCATGTAGATTTGTACTTTGATGCCTGCCACCCCACAAGGGATGCTGACTCCTGCGGCTCTTGGGAGAAAACTTATTCCACTGACCAGAAATATATTTGCTGGAAATACCGGCAGTATTTCATCCTGTTCGCAAGCCCAGCATGAATTTTGCCCATATTGGTCTTGTCCTTATGACCATACCGGCTTTATGGGGAGCGCTTTGATACTTCTTTCCCCTCCTAAGAACTGTCAGTCGGGCCAATGTAATCCAGTAAAATATAGAA